TTTTTAGTGTATTGTGTTTCTATTCCATTTGCCTCCCAGAGATCCTTTTGGGGGATGGGCAGCTGTATATATGTTTGTTTAATGAATAATCAAAATAATCAGTCCCATGAAAGTAACTCCAATGAGGTTTCGGAAGAAACCAAAAGAGGAAAATGGGGATGTCAAAATACTAGCTTTGCCAGCAGAAAACATGGTGTGACCACCTTCTGCTCCTTTTTGTTAAGCAGAAGTTGCTTTTTATGACACCACAGTAGGTTAAAGGAAGCTTGTTTTGATAATAAGCTTGTAACCTACTACTTAGAACAGATCGAACTGCTGATAAAAGGATATCAACAATCTGGTTTTCTGCAACTCATCCTCATTCTTGTTTTCCAAGTTGTGATGCCCCCACAGGTGTTTACTTGCTTAAAAGGTGACTAGGGATGATCCAGGAAGAACCCCCATAGTTAATACTAGTGGGTGAGGATCTTGATTAGTAACAGTGGTGGGATTCAAAAAATTTTACTACTGGTTCTATGGGTGTGGCTTGGTAGGCGTGATGTGGCTTGATGGGTTTGGTGTGGCTTGGTGGGCATGGCAGGGAAAGGATACTGTAAAATCTCCATTCCCTCCCCACCCCACTAACCTGCTTTTCAGCTCCGTTCTCCTGTGCAGGGCAACAAAAGAAGATCCAGCTGATCACCTGGGACTCGTGAGGCAGAAAATAGATGGGGGTGGGGGCCAGTCAGAGGTGGTATTTGCCGGTTCTCCAAACTACTCAAAATTTCCACTACCGGTTCTCCAGAACCGGTCAGAACCTGCTCAATACCACCTCTGACTAGTAAACAGTCCATCCTATAAACAGGCATTCTTCCATCACCTACTTGGAGAAAGGTGGTACAGACTGTCCTCGACTTACAACCATTTTAGTGGCTGTTTGAAGTTACAACAGCATTGAAAAAAGTGACTTATGACCATTGTTCACCAGCAACCCCATGGCCATGTGATCAAAATTTGGCCGCTTGACAACTGACACGTATTTATGATGGTTGCAGGGTTCCAGGATCACCTTCTGACAAACAAAGCAAAGGGCGAAGCCGGATTCATTTAACAACCGTGTTAACTTAACAACTGCAGTGATTCACTTACAACTATGGCCAGAAAGGTTGTAAAATGGGGCAAAACTCACTTAACAACTCTTGCTGACCAATGGAAATGTTGGGCTCCCTTGTGTTCATAATTCAAGGACTACCTGTCCTGCAGGAAACAGTTGTTTAGAAAAGCACAAAGCCTTTCCCCAGTGTGCAGCTGTCTTGCAGTTGCCCTACAGCTTATATGAGCAATATGAGTCTTATCTGAGGAACCTTTACAGGGAAAAGAACTCTGTTGGATTTCACACAAAAACACATAACAACTGGTTTAGGTGATAACATTCTGTTCTCTTCAGGCGGCATAATATCTCTTCTAACTCTAGTAGTAATAGACAGAGAGGTCATCCAAGGAGACAGCAATCAGGAGCTACCTCTCAGTTTCTCTTTGCCTATTTCTCTTCTCAAGTGCCCACATAGACACAAGTGTTTTGGAAAAAGTGAAATTACTTCCTGAAAAGCAAGCAAATGTCGGACCAAACAATTACCGGTACCTCTAAACATTGAAGGTCAACGTTATCTAGCCCAGAAGGTGAGCTTCATTTGTTGGCTGAATTTTGGGAGGGGGGGAGCAAGAAATCAAGGCCCCTTGAAGGGAAATGCAGGCATGTAGGAAGACACTGGGATCTGCCAGCTCTCATTGAAAATTTCCAAACAATCCTCCAGCTACCCTGAGATAGGTGTACGGTACTATTATTTTTGAAACTGGTTGCAGAAAATAGCCTATGGTTGTAGATGTGTGGGGCAGATGGCTTGGAAGTAGGCATAGATTTCAGCCCTAGAAGTGCTCTACACCAGGGATTGAAGTCCACAAGTCTTCAAGTTGCCAAGGTTGGAGACCCCCTGCTCTACACTCTCAGTACTATACATTAATTTCCCTCCCCCTTAATATGTTTCAGCCCTAGCAAAGCCATGGTTACAAACAACAGTTATATCAGATTATGATAAAGGGAAACGGAAGGGTGAGTATATCAGGAAAACTATATATAGTTCTCAGATATACATGTTAGTGGCAACTCTGCAGAGGGCTGACATCTGAAGAGGGCTGTGAAACTGGGTCTCCAGCTGCAATCAGCACAGACTAGAGTTCCCTGATCTGGGCTGCCTGTTAAGTCGCGGGAATGAGACTCAGGACACCAGCATGACTGTCACTTGTTTTATTTCCTTCTAGGACTGAGCACCGGAGAAACCGCGGCAGCCCTTTTTATAGTTGGGCTGCTCACGGCTGTGGCCAGTGACGGCTCTTCAAATTTCCTGCCGCCACGGACCAACCAATTACAGGTAAGTATGTTAATACATAACACTGCCAAAATCAAGTTAATAACTAGAGAGTTCCTAGGTGGTGGCTTCTGGAATTTTACAGCCCCAGCCTGGCCTCCTATCATATCCACCCAGCAAGGCAATTTTGAAATAAGACCTTGATTCATAAAACATATGAAGAAAGGTTACAGGAATTAGGTATGTTTAGCCCAAGGGTCTTCAAACTTGGCAAGTTTAAGACTTGTGGACTTCAATTCCCAGAATTCCTGAGTTAACATGACTAGAGAAGGATTTCTGGGAGTTGAAATCCACAAGTCTTAAAGCTGCCAAGTTTGAAAAGAAGGACTGGAGGGTGACATGATAGCAGTGTTCCAGTATCTAAGGGGCTGCCACAAAGAAGAGGGAGTCAAGATATTTTCCAAAGCACTCGAAGGCAGGACAAGAAGCAATGGATGGAAACTAACCAACGAGAGAAACAACCTAAAACTAAGGACAAATTTCCTGACAGAACAGTTAATCAGTGGAACAACTTGCCTCCAGAGGTTGTTGGTGCTCTATCATTGGAGGTTTTAAAGGAGAGATTGGACAACCTTTTGTCTGAAATTGTATAGGGTCTCCTTCCTGAGCAGGGGGTTGATCTAGAAAAGCTCTGAGGTCCCTTCCAACTCTGTTATTCTGAGTCCTGTCAATTATATTTGCAGAAATATCTGTATACTTCTCTGGTGCCCTCCATTTTCCTCAATAACTTGCTTCTTAAGTTTCACTTTTGGGTCACAGCTTGGAGAAGCTGCCCATGGGACAGGAACAAAAGCCTTCAACGAATATTGCTGGTCAAAGAACCCACTTGACTGGCATGTTTTTAGTCAGCTCCGATTCAGCAAAAACAATGGGAAGATTCCAATTTCCCTACAAAGCAAAACTGTCCTGAGGTGCCCTCTCTTTTCTTCTTTTTGGAACCAGAAGTGGACCAGGGCACGCCTGAATAAGGCCACTTTCTCTAACAACTGCCACCTTACAGCAATCATCACAATATTTTGCTATCTGTAACTCATTGCTTCAATTGCTATTCTTAGCCTCTGTTTATTTCTTGCTTTGTCACCCTTCGCAGAACAAACTTCTGTCCAGATTATCATTGTGAGAAGCTTTACAGAAATACATCCATTTTTCCCATATTACTACTGGGTGACATTTCTTACCACACAACTTAAGGAGGATCCTTCTTTTCTTTAAGATAGCACCGATGAGGATAGCAAAAACAGTTCTTTGTGCATGATGAAGGTTTTGAACCACCTGCAACATGGAGGTGCTTGCTTACTTAATGGCATTTGATGGTTGGTGGCTACCGATAAATAAAATGCTTGCTATGCCACATCTACGTAGCTACAGAAAGAAGTCTGAGTTTTGCAAAGAAACTTTTGGAAAGAAGTTGTGGTTAACAATTCCTGCATTGTGGAAGGGATGGAGCAGGATTCACATGAGATCTAAGTTCATGAAATCTTACAATTATCCATGTAGTGTACAAGATAAACTTGCCCTTACAATAATATTCTAAAAATAAAAGACAACCAGAACACAGCATCATCATTATTTTCATGTTGGAAAAATATAATTATAATAATTAAAAATCCCTATGGCACTACCCTAGCTTGTTAAAAAGAAAAAAGACATCCAGAAGAACTGGAGGTCAGCAGAGTCAGGGCAAACTGTACCCCAACAACAACAACAAAGCTATACTACAAAATGTAGGCCTTCAGATTATCCTGGCCATTTGCTTTCCTAATTCACCACCCACCTCAATGGATTCCTCAAGAAATGAACCTCTTTTAAACTAATGATGTCACCAAGTTTACAGGTTCTTTTCCTCAGGATGAAGGGCTCCCCTGAAGTGGCCAGGAGAATAGACAACACTCAGCAGAATTCTGGAAAAATGCAATGTCAGATTTCTAATTTTACCACTCAAATATAAGTAATTGAAAACAAGAACCTTGACATTTTTTAATTAAAAATTGAAAACCCTATTTGGAAATGGACATTTCCTTCTTCAAGCGGGAATGCTCTGAATTTGTTTGCCTTGCAAATATCAAATGTACAAAATTTTCTAGTATATAAAATCACATTAATACCTTTCATGCCAACCCTGAAGTACATTAGACACTAAACCCATGCCTGATGGAGCAAGCCCTACCCAAACCTCCACTTTCATAAAAACCTCCACAAGTGTATCCCATACCTCTGCCTTTCTCTGCTCTTTGCTCTCCTTCCCTGCATTTGCTTCACTCATTGTCAAAATTGAACTGGCAAAGATGTTAGAATAAAACCTGCATTGGTTTTCTTTTGGCTTTTGCTATTCTGGGAGGCTTTATTATTATTTTTTAAAAAGGTCAGCACCAGGCTTTGTTTTAAAAGCCTGATGTTGACCTTTTTATTTCAAAAAGATCAACTTCAGCAGCAAAAGTTGACAATCCCTGCTCTTAGAATACACGATGTGAACCCTTTAAACTTGCTTCCCTTCCTGGATCCCTCTGCATAAGGGAGCCCGAAGCCCACTGCATTGGAGAAGCAGGAGCAGAGATACTCCAATCATCAAGATCTGCTGTTCAGTCTGGTACTTACCTGGCCCTCAGGAGATCTTCTCTGGAAAGTCAAGGTCCTCAGTGAAGATATCTACAGAGGCAGGAAACTCAGACAGCACCTTTATCCCTAGATGTGTGTGAGTGTGTATGAATGAGGGAGAGAGAGAGTAAGAGAGAGGGAAGAGAGAGAGAGAGAGAGAGAGAGAGTAAGTGTGTGTGTGTGTGTGTGACAGGCAGGTGTGTGTGTGACTTGAAAAACCTGCACCACAGACAGGCTGAAACTTAAAGCGGTTGCTTAGTCCCTTTCCCTGCTGGCAATTCAGGTTTGGCAGTCAGCTTGTATATGTTGGGGGAAAAAAAAAAATCTCTCCAAATCGGTCTGCTGAAGTAAGCTGCAGCTCCCTCACTCTTTCCCTACTTGCTTTGGAACGGATGAAAGAGCAAGCTCAAAGGGTGGGGGGAGTGGGACAGATTTTGGGCTCCACTCCCCGAGAGCAGAGATGCTGCAATCCTTCCAACAGTGCCTTGCTGCTGCTGAAATCCTTATCGGGAGTTGGACTTTTGCCACCGTCAGTGTCATTCTTGCCAGTTGCCTCACGAAACCACAAGTCGCTTCCCTTTGGGGATGGAACGTCCGCTTGCCAAAGGCAGAGAGGGGAGGCACGTCTCTCTCGCAACCTCAATTCCAATAGACGCAGAAGAGGCTCACTTAGTCCACACCCAGGATCCGAGCAGAGTTGTTGGAAGGGGTTTGCTCAGAATGGATGAGAAGACCCCTCTGCGTTGGGCAGGGGAAGGCCTGTCTCTTGAGTGGTCCCACTCCCCCAAGGCTGAGGAAGGTCAGGCAAGGTGGAAAGTAGGCTGCTTCAGAGCGCTGGCTTCAATTTCACGCGGGAAGGGACGGGACACAATTTAAAAGAGGCATTTCGATACAGGGTCTGGAGGCTTTGCTAGACGTCTGGAAACTCCGTTATTTTATTCCACACTTTCAAAAGTTGTTGCATGCCAGACATCAAGTTCGTTTAACCTGGCACTGTGTGTCTTGCCTGGGAGAGTCCCTCAAAGTTTCGGGACGTGGAAGACCTCCATGGAGATGGTTAAATCTGCCCGTAAACATGAACTTCCCTGCTGAGTTACAGCATTTAGAGTTGAGAGTTTGGACAGCTGAACAATGAATTATGTATCAGGAGGCCCAATGTTTATAGTCAAGCCACTTATATCACTTAGAAAGTATTATTTAAAGGAATCATTTTTTTAAAATTTATTTATCAGGGATAGGCTCAAGTCCAGGACTTCAGGCTCAGAAGAATGGCCAAGCGGATCTTTAAATGCCACAAAAGTTGTTTTTCCATATGTTCCAATCAGTCAAATGTTCTGCACTATTATATGGGAAGGGCTGGCAATTATGATCAAATGGGCCTCACTATGTCATAGATGGCCTTTTCCACCCAGGGCTGCAGAAATGAACCCCTTTGCCTCGGTTTTCTTCTAAAGAGTTGATGCCTTTCTGTTTTCCAGTGGACTTACATTGCAAACATTTCTACATGTTGCTGTATTTTTGAAGCAGCACAGAACATACAGGGCTTCAGAAGGAAACGGGAAATCATGGCACTGAAGTGGATATCACAATAGGTCAGGCGATAACTGCTGCTGTATTTGCTAGAGATGCAGGCAGCCCAAGGCAATAGGGCAGGGGTCCCCAAAGTTGGCAACTTTAAGACTTGTGGACTTCAACTCCCAGAATTCCCCAGCCAGCTATGCTCACTTTCAATCGATGCTGGCTGGAGAATTCTAGCAGTTGAAATCCACAAGAATTAAAGTTGCCAAGTTTGGAGACCTTTGCAATAGGGGATGAAACTCTCTGTACAGCTTTTGATGAAGTGGAGAAGGCAGTATTTTCTACATGATAAATAAATATTTTCCTAATTCTAGTTCCCATCCACTCATAAAGCACCCTTGGATCTCTGAGGCCCATTTAAGGCAATGCCCTCACTATTTTTGAATTCTAACATGATGCATTTAGTGGGAAATAGAATTGTACAGATGCTACTCCTGATCCAGCACAATCACAAAGACTTGGACTGTGCTTACTGGTGAAGCAAAAAAGCTTTCTGTAGATGAACAGGGCCTTGTTTGCCCACCTGCTGGTGACTACATGCTTACATAAGTAATACTGTAGCATGTGAGATTTGTCACAGATACCAACATTTGCAGGTTCTGGGAATTCTTGTGTAACATCCATGGCTATGAGTGCAAAGAAGGATCAACAGAATGATTGCTGTACCATTCTTGCAATGAAAGCAGAAAGTCAGGGGAACTCTGAAAACTCCAGGATATTCTCTAGATAATAAACTGTTCTCAAGAATGGCTAAGAGATGCCAAAATGGATGAGTTTGCCAGGAGAGTAGCAAACTTCTTCCATTGCATCCATATTATTGGTACATTAGTGTTTAAAAATTCAAATGTTTGTTCTGCTGAAACAATGGGAATTAAACTCTTCAGCCAAGTTAAAGCTCTAGTTTGATCATAAGCCAGCTGTAGTGCTGCTTGATTCATTTACTGACAGCCAAATGGATTTATGTTATTTTAGCAAAAAGAAGCAAAGTATGCAATTTATATCAGGGAAATACTAAAATCTCTTTTCCCAGCTGCCTAACATTTTTCCAGCTTGAGATCTGCCCCTTGGGGCTGAAGAATTTCGGAGACTAATTTAGCAGACTGTACTGTACTTATATTTGATTCATTTTATTTTACGCTGTTTTGCTCCCAAATATTGAGTCACAGTGAGGCAGATTTTTTCCACTCTAGTTTTCATGTGCTAATTTTTAATGCTACCTGGATCTAAGACTACATTCAGGTTGTTTCTGTTTTGTAACACACACACACACACACACACACACACACACACACACACACACATTGTCCCCAGGGGTAGGATTCAAATTTTTAACAACTGGTTCTGTGGGCGTGGCTTAGGTGGTGGGCATGGCTTGGTGGTCATGTGACTGGGTGGACATGGCTTGGTGATCATGTTATTGGCTGGGTGTGGCCAACTCAATATCACTCACATTGAGGAACGCATCTCCTTACCTGGCCTCTCATAACTGTGGGGATGCTGCAACAGTCGCAAGTGTGAAAAATGGTCATAAGTCACTTTTTTCAGTGCCATTGTAACTTTGAATGGTCACTACACACAAGTAAAGTACCAGCAAAGGAGGGGAAAAAAACTCCAGAGACATTCCTGAGACAAGAAGTCTAGTCCTGCCAAGAATGTAATAAGGGTTAACAGAGAGGCAGTTTCTGTAAGCAACACCAGAATGTTTCCTTCCTGCCCTCCTTACAGGATTAGGCCAGTAATTTCTTCGAACAACCGGTTCTCCGAACTGCTTAGAATGTTACAACCGGTTCTAGCGAATAGGTGCGAACTGGTAGAATCCCACCCCTGGTTGTCCCTTTCTATGTTTTAGGGGTAGATGTACCTTTTCTTCTCTTCTCTTCTCTTTTTCTTTTCTTTTTTTCTTCTTCTTCCAAAAATGGTATTAAAATTGTCAACTGCTGCAGTACTTAGCTTGCTATTATCTAAAGGGATCTTTCATACCGAGGGATTTTTTTTTTAAAGCATTTCATACTGGACTGTTATAAAACACTGCAATATAGAAATTGAATCAATTTGAGAGTTTTATTACATTCATCTGTTTCCTTGGGAAGGTGCTTATAGTGCCAAAGCCTTTTAAGAATTACTTTCTTATTTGGCAGAGTTTCATGGAATGTTTGCTGTTGTTGTAAAACAGCAGTCGCTGCCATGTTTCCTATTAAACTGGCAGGCACAATTAGAGGAGGGCATGTGCCATCACGCCTTCTTAAGTAACACGGGGTTCAGTCCTCTAGCAAAATTCCAGTCCTATGACTCTTACCTAGGAGTCATTCTAAACAACTAGAACAAGTCTCCTCCCTTAGAAATATTTGGGAGGTTCATTTAATGGTGAGAGGAAGTATTGCACATATGAACTGTGGTTTCTGGGAAGATGTAGTAAGTGTTGTTCCTATGCTGTTCCCACATAATTACCAGTTTTGTGTGAAGGTAGTATAAATAATTGTAACTGCCTGCACTTTTAGCCCTATAGGCCTGTATATGTGTGTGTGAGAGAGAGAGAGAGGGACAGAGAGGGAGATGGACAGACAGACAGAGAGACAGACAGAGTGACCCAATTTGGGAAAAGCATTGGACTTCAAACAAGGCCACCCTTTCCCATTTTGCTTGTATTATCAATGTCTAAGATAGATCATTGTGGTTTTGTCAGCACTAAAGTCTCTGAAAATGGAGTCTATAGTTGTTGTGTGAGTGAAACTAGTGAGCTAAGCCCAATATGTGTGTGTGTGTGTGTGTTTGTGTGTGTGTGTGTGTGTGTTTGTGTGTGTGATGTGTTTAGCAGAAAACTGTTTTTTTATTTTTTTTATTTAAATATATGTTTTATTGATACATTTTTTTAATACACATAAAAAGTTCCATATCTATCTATGGTTTCTGGATACAGTTAATTTTAAGTAGAGATACAACATTAATCATGATAGTAATCATCATAAATATTAATCGCAAAGTAATAATGCGATTAGTTTATCCATGTTACAAAATGTTCAATACAAAACTTTTTATTGTCTTTTTAGATTCTAACCTCTGTTTCTGTTAGTTAGCCATTGGTAAAACAAGTTCCATGTTAAAAAGTATTCTGTTTCTTCCTTTTCTTTTCTTTTAAGTGTTACTCTATCCATCTCAGCACATTCTAATATATATTTTTATAACACTTTTATCTGTAGGGATCTCTTCATTTTTCCATTATTGTGCAAACACAATTCTTGCTGCCATTAATACATGTAAAATTACGTATGTATTCCCTTTATTATACTGTTCTGGTAATATACCTTCCAAGAATATTTCTATGTGTTGCTTTATCATTTTTTCTAACCAAGTATGTATTTTAGTCCAGTATTTTTTTGCCTTTGGGCATGGTCCACCACATATGGTAATATGAACCTGGTATCTGATTACACTTCCAAAATTTAGCTGATAAATTTTCATACCACTTTGCTAGTCTTGCTGGTGGTAGATGCCACCTATAAATCATTTTGCATAGATTTTCCTTATATGCCGTTGACATTGTTAGTTTTGTTTAGCAGAAAACTTGATTGTTCATTTAAAGTAGTTCAATTGCTTCCTCCAACCTGCTGCTGTTGAGACACACAGAATTGCAGCCATAGTCAAAGCCTTATTTAGATTGATAGCTGAGGAAAATCCACCAAAATTAAATTTTCATTCCAGTTAATTTAAAAGTGAGTACTCA